TGTTTTTAAAGGTGTTTGAGGCGGGAACATTCCCTTGACTCTAGCTCTCCCAAACAACGGGTCCCTGAAGCATGTTGTCCACTCTGAATGAGCAGCTGTTGCGGTCCAACGGACCGCTATTATGCAAGTATTTGGACATCACTTGTCATTGCCTCATTCACTATAGTTGACATCAAAGTTAACAATTCTCTATAGTCAGAAGAGACATCCCCCGCAGGGGAAGTATGTGGTGGTATTTCCTCAAAAAAACATGGTTGGTTGGGCTGAGGAATCTGCAACTGGCAAAGTGACACATTTCTTCAAGTTTGCTTATGAATGGCCCGGGCTTGTGCGGAGCAACAGTGCTTCGGCGTTTAAGTGGTTTCAAAATGGCCGCTTAGGGAGTTCAATTATCATCGTGAGAGAGTTTCATCTTCTTTGAGTAACAGGATGACTGGACAGAAGAGAAGTGTTTGAAGCATCCATTCTCGGGTCCATCCTCCGCAATACTTTGCAATTGCGACCCGATGCATTCCACAGGAGAGTTGGAGGGGAAGAGGAGGTCGTGGCATGTTACAAGCAGGAGCTGGGAGGGGCGGCTGTTGATTTGGGATGTGTCATTCCAGCCCACAGAACTTACAGCTTCAAGCCACCTAATTACTAAGAAGTTGGGTTTTGAATGGCTTAAACCACAAAAACAACACGTTTTGTTTTTCCGTTATTTCTTCCATCTGGTGGGGAAAACTTGGGATTACTCAGCTGCTTCCTTAAGACAGAGACCCTCCCTGAAAGAACCATGGAAGTGGACAATCCCCTGTTTGTAGAGGAAATCGGATTCCATCCGGTGGGCCCACAGGTCGTCCCAGCGTGGCCTTCTTTGTTCTCGACCCCCGTCACGGTGGTGGGCCGGAGAATTCATGGAAGAACTGAATGGAGTGGCCACGGGTGTCCAAAAAGACCCCGAAAAAGGGTCGGCCATCAACAGGTTAAGGCTTCGGATCATTGCTTGAAGTGCCGTTTCCTTCTCGAACCGCCACCCCTGACCTCTCTAGACCTGAAAAAGACCCCCGTCCGTGCCGCCGTTGACCAGGCGGCGGAGCGGGAGGCCAAGGTCATCGAAAAGGTGGGTCCGCAGGACCTGAACTCCCAGGAGGTCCTGGGTGGGGAGCACCAGCTTCGGACCGAGCCAGCACGCAGCTGGAGGTGATCACTGATGGTGGTGCAGGTTCGGCACCGGGTGGAGCTGATCTGTTATTTGTTGCGAATGGTTGCTGATCTTGATCTTCCTTTCGCTTATCACGCCTCGTTGGCTCTGGTCACGCCTCGTCTCAGACCTCTCCAGACCTTCACGCCAGTTCTGTCCGAAGACATCGAACAACCAATCCACTTCTGGGGATGGAGCTCCAGCGATTCCGGAAAAGACCTCCGGAGCGCCATTTCAAAGAAGAAGACTAGGAGCCTGACTCCCATGTGTGTTTTTGTTTAAAGAGGTTTTAAGGGTCAAACGGACTGAGAGAAAGATGGAGTACCTATTTACAGGTGATGATAGGTGTATTTGTTCATGAAGAATCAATGCCTGAAGAATCATTGAATCATTTCACCTATAGGGACCTCGCAAAACTGCACATGTTCCGTCTAATGGTGATTCAATGACCAACCCCATTTGGGATGCCAGAGCGGGCTTCAGAGCGGTGCTGAGGTGACCAATGTTTGGATCTCAGCATCAGAGTTATGAGTCATGTGTTGAGAGGGGGGGTTGAAACCTTTCAAACTCAACTCATCAGATCTTTGTTGTATTTTGTGGTGAAACGCCCTCTTCAAAGAAGTGGACTCCTTGGATTGCCATGAGTGTGGAGTTTATCTGGTGCTTTCTTTTGCGCCTCGATTTAGTGTCTCATTCGCTGGAAATCGGAGGTTCTTGAAGTTTTACATGAAAAGCAGGTTCTTTGCCTCTGCACATGTGCCCCTGAAAAGCTTGTTTCTATCCCAAGGTTCTGGGGATAAGTAGATGGATGACATGAGCTTTGATGCAAATTTGGGGATGGCGGTGCTTTGTGTTCACCACCTCACCACGCCCGTATTGACAAAAACTGTCCTCCAGTCGTTTGTACATTGGTCACAAAATACGTCGCCATACGCAAAAATCGGGGAGACGGCAGGGGGCACTTGCTTTCGGGCGAACAGAACTGCACCTAAACTCTACACTCTACACTTCACTCCATTTGTTCGATGATTCGATGAATGGCAAATTCCAGGAATGTGGACCAGGACGTGGATGTAGTAAATCGCTACCAGTATCGCTCATGGATCAGGACATGGTTGCTTGATGTTGCTTGTATATAGTATACATGACCTTTCTTTTTGATGGACGTGTCTTCGAAACCAGCAGAAAGAAACAATGATGACCTATAGCCGATCATTCTACCATTCATCATGCTTCACATGATATACAATCATCAAGAAACCCACCACCAGAGAAACCATAGGACCATATAAGACCTAAAGACGTGACAGTTGAATTTCGGACCCATTCCATCCACTGAGGGGCGGATGAAGGTCGCGGGCGACCGCATTGTGGTGAACCAGGCGGACGGTCGAGACGCACGCAGCGAGGTTCCGATAGTAGAGCCGGGTAGAGTTACGGATTATTCTTGCAGGTTTAGGGCAGGGTGGAAAGCAACCAGTTGGAAAGGAAACCACCTATGCATGCGCAAGAGTTGGGTTTCCATGAGAGTACAGATGTATTCTCAGATTGCTTTTCATCTAGTGTGAACAAGTTTGCACAGTGTTCAGAGATGCCGGAGAATGCATTGGTTCGTTTCCCTACCAGCTGCTGCTGGCACATGAATCTTCCCAAACCTGCAGGCCCCAGTTTGCAACCTGAACAAGGGGAGATCCGAAGTGAACCAGCAGTGTCCTTCCGAAGTCGTCAGGGCCCTGCAGGAAGGTGCTAGAAGTCGTGGGGATAGCCATGGGATTCTACGGGCATGCATAGGATACGAAACAGACATCGAGACATCGCTTGGAAGTTGATTGGAGGTGAAGACCGCCAGCGCGTTTTGTACTCTACCTCACATTGCATGGAAGTAACTTGCCCCTGAAGTGGCTAAGATCTTCAAAGTATCCTCCCTGAAACACTCACGGAGCTAGGAAGGGGCGCCCCTTGGATGACGTACTCTGTCCTCTAGAAACACATAGTATCACATCGTTTTCCACTTCCATTCCCTAGGGCTCCAACCATATCCTCAGGTTCGGTGGTTAGACCCCCCAAACCCACCCCAACCATCTTCTCAGGAGGTGGTTGGAGCCCTAGGGGTTTTTATTTCAAGGACCCATCTCTCCGGGTTTCCTACGTCCTTTCGCTGTCAAGCGCTCCACGTCAAGCGCCAAGGCAACACGTCGATCACGGTCACGGTCACGGAGCCGCTCCGGGAGTCGTACCTTGGATTTTTTCTGATGCTGAGTGAGTAGTGAGTGTCGATGCAAAGATGAGTATGAGTAGTGAGTAGAGAGTAGTGAGTAGTGAGTGAGTAGTGAGTGTCAATGCAAATCCTATATGTTTTTTCTTTTCGGTGGTTTTCGGACCCAGATTTGGAGCTGATTTGGAGCTGTACTCGAGACCTCAATCGGTGTCAGCATTGACTGCTCCCGCTTTGATGCGCAATGTAATCTGAACGGAAACCGTTGGTGGGGGAAGAGTAGCCACAAAAAGGTGAGTATGCTCCACCAAGCTTTGGTTAGAGGGTATCCAAGCAGATCATGGCCTTCTTCAGGACACAACAGTGCTCTTCTGAAGTACTTTTCAAAAAAGGAAATACCACGACTGATTTTGCATAGTTTCCCATGGAATCCCAGGGAAAAACATGGCCATAGTGAATGCGCCTTTATGAGAGTTCTTGTGATTCAGGATATTACTAAGGCCAGAATATGCCAGAATTCATGATTCTTGCAAAGTGGGTCACGTACAATCTATGTATCGAGTTGGAGGAACCTCTCATCACAGCAACAGCAGATCTTGTCGCTGGACGACCAAACTTGCTCTTTTGTCTGAGGTGCCAAGAAATGACGATCCTTCTTTTCTTCGCCCTGGAGCACGAAAATCCCATTTTGGCTGAAAGGTAAAATCACATCAATGAGGCTGCCGTTGTGTAGGTCGTATTGTGTAGGTGCAGCGAGTATGAAGCACATGCAAGACATCCTGAAGGAATGATCAAGGCGGAACTGCAGGGCCCCTCTTCGCCAAGCGTAAGTGATCCGATCCTTAGACAGAGGGTATGTATAGCGATGTGATCTTCCAAGAGCCTTGTGACCTTAGCATTTGATATCATTTGATGCTCTTAGAGCCAGGGGCATCAAGTTCCCAGCTCCTTTAGCTTCACCTTCAAGTGGCCGGCGAAAGACTGTGCCGCAGAAAGACCTCGTGACCAAAGACCTCTTTGCTATCCATTTGAAAGACAAGCCGAGCGCAGCCAAGTGCAGCATGTTTCAGCGATGTTTTCTTGATTCTCATTCCGATCATGGGGTCTCTCCTAGTAACAGTCGGTAAACAATGATCAACATGTCAGACATCACTATTTGGAGAAAGTCCTTCACTCATCATCATCCACGGTTACAGTCCTAGGACACAGTCCACCGAAATGCATTCCCAGCGGTTCCGAAGGGTTCCGAAGGGCCACGCCAACGTGGTGACTACGGTGACTGAAGACCCCATGGCCACGCAACTTTGCCACGAAGAGCAGCATGTTCATCCTTTGGCTCAAAACATGGGTTGCGGGTCGCGAGCTAAGCAGCTACATGTTGAGAGCCACATCCTGAAAAAGCAGTATGTATCTACCGCTCCTGATCGAAGCACATGGTAGCTCGTTTTCGGAATTCATGTCAGAGTCATAGCTGTAGAAGCCATGTTTAGGGTTTCATTCCATGTCCATACTGTTCAAATGAAAAATCTGTGCACTACCTTTACATCGCAGCGCCTTCTTTTTGGAGCATGGACACCAAAGCATCCAAAGCACACGCTTCGTATCGTATGGCGCGCGCTATCCCTCAGGGGGCCATGGACAGCACCGCGATGCGCCATGGCTCGATGTAGGTAGACCGGATCACCTGCAGAGGCGAGACATCCGTCGTTGCTTCCTTCATTCCTTTGGGGAGGAATAGGCAATTTGGGATTGGATAGATCCTTTGAGCTTGGACAACGCGGCAAACAAGTAGCACATGTCGCATCAAACTACAAGAGTTGGCCCAGAACGGGAAGGCCAGGGAGTCACTTTTCCAATTGGCGCTTGGTGTTGCGAAGTCCGCTTTCATGGACCTTCCTGGCGGTCAAAGCAACCGCTATGAACCTAAAAACCTGTTCCCCCTGGAGGCCGTCATGGTGCGGGGATGTGGTCGAAGGTCATTTTTGTCCAGGTGTTTTAAACAAAATCCAAATCCTGATTTCCAGCTCCCTTGACAAGCACATGGGTGGAGTACACGTATATAACCACATGCACACGAACACACACACACACACACGAACACACACACACACACGAACACACACACACACACAACATACACATACACACACACACATGGGCGTGCGTGCACACACACACACACACATGGCCCACTCAGAAAGCTGGCAGATGTTGTTGTTGTTGCAGATTTTGGGGCAAGTTGTACGTAGGAGTAGGAACACGTGTTTCACATATTATATGATTCCTTTGGTTTTCCTTAGAAGGCATAATCGTATATAAAATAGTATATATACATAGATAGATGGAGAATCCAATCCAAACGATTCGGATATGTTGATAATCTTTGGTTTACTCAGGTGTTGTATATTACCCATTTCTGTCCTGACAGCATGAACCAATCTGTTTTGTGAACAATATCTTTTGGGATCTGTTTGGTTCCCCCATTGTTCATGAGAGAGTCGGAGAAGGCACCTCAAAAGCCTGCGCAGGCGCCAGAGGCGCGCGCCCGCCATGGCGCCCGTGGCTTCGTGCGGATTCGTCCGGAGTCCCATTTCGCACGCGTGGAAGATGGACCTGAAGACCTGGAAGACCTTTTCGCTGGCCAACCTGGTGCAGTGGGTTCTTTTGACTGATAGCCGCAGATCATTCGGCTGGACATTTTCCCCTTTGATTCACAAACAGGAGACGTATGCCAAAAGATCAGCCTCCTCAAGTTCAAGGTTGAAGTTCAGGGACGGGACCATGCCACTTTCTTTTTGCACGTCCAAAACCTTGCACGTCCCATGTTTAGTCGTTTGGGCTATCATCCATGTGTCGCTTGCTCGCTCACGCTTGCTCCCTGAGTCGACTGTTGACACCAGAACGACGCCATTGGACGGTGTGGGACTGCAGCGCATTGGCTGTGAAACGTCACAGCCATTGGACGTGGGGATTCCTGACAGCTGCACCACGGGATTCCTGTCGCTCACAGGCCGTGCATGCGACCAAGAAAGGGGTCCGAAGCTGAGCGATTGGAGCGACATCCGAGTGGGCAGGCCTGGCCTTTGAGGCCTGGCCTTGTCCTTTTTAGCCAAAGAGAACCATCGCTGTTGGGCAAGCTTACCCATTTTGAGATCATTGAAGAGGCAATGTTGGTGCCGTTTTGACAAGGATTCTTCACCAGACCTGAAGACAGGCCCATAGCAGAACCATATAGTTTATTTTTTGTGGGTTCTGATGGACCCCAGATTGCGCCTATGCTGGACCTTGAGTGGTCCCCTGATAAGAAGAAAGCGAGGGCACCTCAAGTACTTATTGGAAGAGATTCGATGTTTCATGATTTTAGGGTACATGGATATATAGTAGACACAAATCTTGAATTGTGTGCATGTGTGGCTTTCCATCATACGTTTCAATAAACCGCAAGTTCATGTTGTTTGACGTAGTCGACTGAAAACAAGATAAAGACAGACCATGACAGACCCAGATAAATGGCTGTGAGTCATGGCGCCTCCCTCACCAACCTCATGGTACTCGTAGGTTGACACCACCCGATGGCGGGAATCTCATTTTCAGAGTTCCACCAGGGTGCCCGGGCTATGACCGCCAAATCAGAGTTTTGACCCAGCAGTGCCCGCGGCGGAGCCGGTGGTGCACGTGGTCAGGAGCTGCCTTTGAAGGTGGAGAAGCGCGCCAAGGGAAAGAAGGCAAAAATTGAAAGCGCAAAGCGTCAAATGGCTGCTTGATGAAAAAACAATCCAATATGAAGAGGTGTTACAATCCAAATGCGTTTGTTTGTTAGTTAATCGTCTATCATGAGATTTGAGAGCGATTGGAGAGTCGCAGATTCAGAAGGCCAGTCGCAGATGTTAAAACCATATTTAATTTGCATTGGATGTTTGGTACGTTATTAGTTATCAGTTATCGATAAATGACAAACACATGGGGAAGCTCATGACACACGTTACTATTCCTTAATGGTTGTTTGTTGTCATAGGAAACAAGCTATCGCCAGACAACGTGGGTACATCTCCGTTGGGACTCCCCAGTTGGGACTTCCGTAGTCACTCCAGCCGCAGTATTGTGTGCAAAGCCAAGGTGGGGGGAGTTTGGGCAGAACAAATACATCACTCACCCAGGTCCAAAGACCCGGAACCATCAAATGGACCGGACTGGAAGACAATGGAAGACATGTTTTCCTCTACAACCCGACGTGGTTTTCAGGTTCCATGTTGGGCCTCAGGACCTGGAAGACATGTTTTTGACTGTGGCACCCATTGGATTGTTTGGTTTGTTATGCTATGTTGATGCTCTTCAGGTCTTGTGTTTGTCGCTATGTTTTACCCGGTTGTTATGATAATTATGATATCTTATTATGTTTCCAGACGGCGACACCAAACAAACGCAACATATCTTTGACACTCTTTGACAGCCTTAACTCCAAACAACACAAGGCAATCACTTGGTTTCTCTCATTATAATGTTGATCCCTATAAATCCCAGAGCCTCCCTTTGGGGAACCTGTACCGTTCATCCGAGCGTCGCACCCGTGAAACCTCGCGAAGGTGACGATCATCGGCAATGTCTCCGGCGATGCCATGCTGGCAGAGTTTGAAGAACCGTGAAGAACCAAGAAAAAAAACACACATATCATTTAGATTATATATATTTAGAAACGGTATATATAACACATAAACGGTTTATTACACACATAACACAAAAAAATAAAAGAACCATAAACGGTATATATATATATATACATCTTTGTTGTTTTGTTTAAATGTTATTTCATGGTAGGCCCTGGGCCTGGTTTTTAGGTGATCCGAAAAGGCATCTTCCTCTACTTCGTTGTGGACCCCCAAAAAAACTATGTACTGACTCGTGTGTTCTATTTAAGGTGTTTAGAGGGGTTTGTACCCCGCAAGCTACGTGTGTGAATTGTGGAACCTTAAAAAGAGGCCCCAACAGGAGGAACAAAGAGCCACAGCTTCTGAACAACCGGATGCGCTGGATGGGCACGAGATTTCGCCAGACCAGGACTCGTTGTTGGGGTGGTGAAAGATCCCCCTTAAACCTCTTTTGGACACCTTCATGTGGGATATATAGAGAAGATTGGGGTCATTTGGGTCATGCGAATTGCGGATGGTGTGCTTCACGTGGGATCTTGTGACCATTTGAGTAGCTGTTGCAACTGAAGGGACTGGGAGCGTGTTGCTTGGTGATGTTTGGCCCACCGGTGAACATGAACTCCGGACACCGGAGACCAACTGACGGGCTACTGGGAACAGGACTGGAACGTTGAGAGGAGAGTTCCATAGAGTCCCTATGTGTTTTTGTAGTGACCTTCAATTTCATCGTTTTGGGAAAAACAAAGCTTGGATTCCCCTTATTTATTTGGGGATGAGTCAAAACCTGGAGCTCTGGTCCACGTAACTTGTCCATTCTCGGTAGGTCAAGGACTGTCATGGTGAGCCGGACGCCGAACTCCTGCGCCAGGCCACCCGTTTGTCTCGCGGGCTGCAGACCATGCTGGGAGTTGGTGGTTCTGTCCGACAGGCGCGGGTCTTCTGCAGGGTTCCGCAGGACATTGAAAGGTGTTTCTATTCAGTTTGTTCCGGGATTTTGTGGTTGTCGTTGTTGGTTGTTCTTCTCCTCATCAGGCAGGTTCTCCTCGGCACCGAACACCTCATCGACTGCGGGCTTGTCGTGACCCCCTCCTGAATCGCACGTGTCGCTGTGTCGCTGTGCGTCGAAGGTGGTCGACGGTTCATAACGGTTCATCCGGCCCCCATCTTCTCCTCGCTTCTCCTGGTCCGGTGGGTGGGCTGCAGCATTGGACACGTCAGCCGGTGCTGCAGGATTGGGCGTTGATGTGTGTTAGATATACATCGATTTCAGAGCCTTTACAGAAATGAATGCTGAGTCTTCAGATTGCACAGGACCATTGGTCTTCCGAGTTTCCGGCGGTTTTTCCGAGTTTCTGGAACCAAATTGGTGAAGTTTCATGGCTGAAGGGTCTGCCCCTGCTGGCGGTTCTTGTGTCGCGCCTGTCCAACGGTGATCGCTTCGAGGCTGAACGCGGCTCTTGGTCAGTGGAAGTGCAGGGTGTTCGGGGCCCGGGCGTGCTCGGTTCTGAAAGGAGTCGCTCTTGCGTATCCCAGTCGGATGGGTGTTTGATGGTTTCGGCAGCCACTTGGCATATTGATTCTCATTGGGGCTCGTTTGGTTTCTCAGGGGTGATTTTGAAGGATGTTTTGAGAAGAATGTTTTGAGAGATGATGCGGCCTTTTGTTCAGCAAGTGTTTAGGATGTTTAAGGTTGTCCAACGAAACACCAAAAGTGTAGTTTGACTGGACATTTGTCCTTTGATGTCCTCTTCCCTGCTGTTTTTGGTTTTTAAGTGTTCACAGAAAAGGAGATGCACGACCCATATTTGGTTGTGTGATCTAACATCATGATTGCCAAAATACATCATCTCTCAGTAATAATACATCATCTCTATATCAATCAAACTATCGAAAGGTTCCTAGCTGAATTTAAACACCATCCTCCACGTTCTCTAGGAATTCGGTCAATCGAGTTCTTTACACTGGGACTCACCAACGAAGTGGAAAATCCCCTGTTTCCAGAGGAAAGTAGTCTTCCAAAAATGGCACATGATCCACTTTCATTCCAGTGAGTCCCATTGTGAATTGAGTTGTGAATGCCTTCACCCCAAAAATGTTTGACCCATGTCCAACCCTCGGAACCCTTTACTGCCACGCGTCGTTCTTCTTCCGCACGTCGCGTCTGAGGACCAAGTGCCACGCGTCACGAAGGCACTTCTCGACTTTCAATGCCTTCACGGACTCTCGAGCAGTTCCTTAGAGGCCCCACTTGGCTCACGGGCTCCGTGGCGCCGACAGACGACCTGTGGCGCCGAACGAAAAACCCGCAACACTTGGGACACTCCATGTGGAACTCAGAAACATTATGACGTTGCAATGGGAATCCAATGATCGGTTTAAACTAAAAGAACGACCAGTGACACGTGTTTTCCCTAGGTTTTAGCTGCCTGCATGGAAAACAACACTTGCCACTTGAGATTGTTTGGGAGGTCACATCGATACTGCGAGAACTGTGTGACACACGGGTGTTTCCTTCACGCGTGTGACACGAGTTGTTTGTTTGTCCCGATATCCCACCAGTGGTTGATCAGAGTTTCAGCCTTCCCCTGATTCCTTTAACAACACAACAATATGTTGTGTTTTTGCCTGGCATTGGATGGACGTTGCATTTAACCTGCGACTATTTGAGTTTGTAGTCGGTTCTGTGCAAAAAACATCAACAATTGCAGGCAAAACACGACCGAAACGCCTGCGCACTTGCGGATTCAAGAGGTTCTTGTCTTGTTGAAATATAAGATGAAAGCATTGAAAAAGCATTGGAAATACAAAACGGTTCCATTTTGGCCCTTGTTTCATGTTGATTCTGCCTTGTGGTCTGCGGATTCAAGAGGTTCTTGCATCCCGCACTATCCGAAGCGAAGCGAGTTGGACCATGCTGGATTCACTGGGCCTGGTATCGCCACTCCCAATCAAGGCACATGGGTTTGTGCGACCAGACACGAGCTGTTCCACCTCTCATGTCGCCTTCCCCTCGGCCCAGACCGCGCGGACCCTGAGCGAGTCCCGGCGGACAGACTCCGTGGTGGATCGTGCGCCGGGCGCAGCAGCTTCGGACGCGACACTGTTGGGTGTCTATTTATAAGCCCCAACTAGCTGTGATTCGGGGTGTCCATTAACCACCCAACTCCTGGGGGTCCTAAGGAGGATGGGGAGACTGGGAGGGCGAGATGGCACCAGCTTGACCAGGCAAAAAGGAAAGGCCAAGCAGGATCTCAGACAAGGCAAAAAGGGATCGAACACCGGCTGAGAACATATTTGTTTGAGTCTTTTTGCTGGAAACCAGGCAGAGAGCACAGCTGCACATGACCAGGTACAGCTGCTACGAAGTTCTTAGCCCAGACACGCTCAGCCCGGGAGCCCGAGCCCTCGTGGACCGTGGAGGGGCGCTTGAGGTGTGCCGAAGGGGTGAAGGTCGACCCGGTGCTCCGGTCGTACCTGGCATGAGGAGCTATGACCAGACCTGGACCATGGAGCCCTAGGGCCGAGAGCCCGCACAAATCGAGTGGAGTCGTCCACGTGATCTGGAGTGGAAAAGGACATGTTCTTTTGTGATCTAAAAAAGGTCACTTTTAGACATGGTCTTCAAGGGTATAGAAGTGTCTTTAACCTTTTCACCCCCCCCCCAGCAAAACACATCCTCACGGCAACCTGAGCCCATCCTTGAAGGCCTTGCATAGCAAACGTTTTGTCTACCGCCCCCCCTTCTCTCAAGTTGTAAGGTTTTTGCTGGACTTCTGGCTCTGGAGGGTTATAAGATGTAAGGATTTGGAGTTGGACGCTCATGGACTTTAGGGAACGATGTTGTATTCGGATCCATCTCTCTTTGGCGGTGGGTCTCCTGGGTCGAGGGTGGGCGGGTTCCGGGTCGACCAGGAGCTCGAAGTTGGACGATGTTTTTGTGATGGTTCTGGTGTTCTTTTTGTGGTGGATGAGTGGGTCTAACCGGTCTAATGTATAGTGATCCCCAAATAGATTGTGGCCCCGTTCCCAATGCACGTTTAGTGGGGATCTACTTTTCTAGCTGTTTGGGGGTCTATATACCTGAGGTTACATTGAATCATCGTGTTTGGAGACGCGACATCTTCCGCAGAAGAAAGCTAGACGAACACATTGGACTAGGAGGAGCAATCGATCTTCTGTTCCTTGATGTTGATGGTTGGTTCATGATATTTGAGGATGTGACCAAAAACACATCTCAGAGCCAAGTTGCTTTATTCCCAAATCTTTGGAGTCATGCTGTTGTGCTTTTCCAAACATCGCCTGTATTCTTTTTGCACGAAACATGTGCAGACCGCACACCCGCACCGCACCTTCTTCAAATGCGGCACCAAGGGGGCCTCAATGTCTCCAGAAGAGGAGCGACGGCGGCTATTGGAGCAAGAGGCTCTCGGGTTGATTTCTGCAAACGCAGAAGACATATTATTGATGTGTTTTTGTGGGTGGAAACAATGACACCCCAAAGCACCATACCTGTAGGTGAACATCCTCAGTAGACTGTACACTTCATCGTTATATACCATGATGCTAGCCACAGGTTCCAAGTAGCCATATGAACATGCAGAGTTAGGAGAGCTTTGGACTCCGTTGCGGAGCCACTTGTATCTCCACCCAACATCCACTGGACTTCAGTATGGCCCATGTCGCCTTTTCACTAGCGAGTCCTGTCCTCTGTCGCGCTCAAGGGTGCTGTCCCGAGCTGGCGCACTGGGCGAACGAGCGAACGGTCCGCGGGTGGCGACAGGCGGAGTTCTACGGACAGTTCTGGGAGAGCGCGATCAGCTCCGGCGACTTCCTCGACATCTTCGAGGCTGGCAAGCTGGCTGGCTGGCGGGAAGGCGTCTATGGCGTGTATGTATGAGTTGGGAATGGTACGTAGTATGAAGGACATAAGAACGGTTTTGAACAGGCACAAGATCGTAGGTAGTGATTTGCAAAAGACCAGGAGGAGGCAGAGAGACACACGCAACATGCCAGTGTTTTTTTCTTGTTTGCATTCAAACAAGGGATTGAGAGGATAAGACAAGATGGATCCTTTCCACATAACCCACAAGAACTTGTCACCCTGATTGTGATTGCCAGAGGACTCCAACAGCATGCTTGTTTCCTGGAGTGTTGATTGAGTGTCGCAGTATGACTAGCCGCAAATATTTGTTGTCACTGGGAAACCCATTCTTACCACCTTTGGTACTGCAGCAGTATCAGTTTTCGCCCATGAGTTGATATCCCGAGGAAAGACAGGTGGACGCAGAAATCGGATCAAGTTCAACAGGCTTTCGTTCCAACAACAGTGGATCCACCATGTACAGAGGTCACTCACTATCATCTCACCAGTACTTATTCGTTTCCAACTCCCCCAGTACCCTTCATTTACCCTCCTGTAGATGAACATGGACCCTTAAAACCACTGCGTGGTAGATGAGAAGAGTCTGCCCGGGGTACCCACCGTACAACACGGTGAGGGGTCTAACGGCGCTCGCTGGGGCAGTACTGATCGAACAGCCCCGAGACCTAAAAGCTGAACAGACCAAGTGCTACGAATGAATCTGAAGGAGAGTTCCGCTTCGAGAGCAACTTGAAGAAGGAGCCAAAGCAATTTGGATCACCGGGAACACGCAGAACACGCAGATGGCTTAGTCGGCGGCTTCGTTGTCCATTTCCCAAGCAGGCTGATGAGGAACACCTCATTCTTGAGCCCGGTCGCCATCTTCCCTGCATCGCAGGTCGAAGTCCAAGAGCTGCCGCCCGGTCAGACAACTTCACCGCGCCGTGGCAAGCTAGTTGGGGAGCTCGGAAGCAGGAGGATCTGGTCCGACCATGATGCTTTGCTATGCTTTGTTAGATTTTGGAAATGCTTGGTTGGGTCCAGCAAGATTGAATATGTTGTTTTCTAGCTGGCTAGGGAGGGGGACGTGGTTTTGAAGGCACCAATGGCTATCAGTCCATGTCTGGGTTTCCTTTCCGTTCCAATAATTTTTTGTGGGCTCGGTTTTCTTGGGATTTCTAGAAGGCTTGTGACAAGCTGCTTGTACGAACTCTTTAGACTCTGATACAATTCCCAAGAAGCCAACAATTTACTATCCCCACATCAATTCCCCAGGAAACACCGAGAGGTGTTGGGATATGTGAGTTAGGATATGTTCACTGCTAGGGGTACGTTTGATTTCGGAAGTGTAGTCCAGCATTCTTTTCCAGAAGCATCAACATCTTGTCTAGTTGATGGAAGGAACACCACCACTTGACAGGTCACGCAACGACAATTTATATAGACAATTTCTGTATAGGTGGGTATTAGCCGCATCGGCATCTGCCACCCCCCAGTCGAGTCTATTCTTAAAAGACAAACCTCAACTGAAATTAAGGATTCTGTATGATTCTGTGCGTTTATGTCCGTTTGCAATGTGTTTGAGGTTTCTCAATTTGTTTGGATTTCTTCAAATTTATTGCATCAAGTTGGTGCATAACTCTGACTATCCTAAACTGTGTAAACGTTGCTCTCCCAGTCGTCGCGCCACCTGCCAGGAAGGCCCTGAGTTGAATATGGCCCTCCAGGCAGGGAAGTGAAGATTTGAGTCACAGTCACTGGGCCCAGTAGGGCGTCTTCCACTTCTTTGTGTAGGCAAACCCTCAGGAAGAACGTGTTCTCTTCTTACCGGCTCTTAGAACACCTATATGTGGATCAGCCACGGTCGAATTCAGAACTCCGTTTTTCTGTGGCCGGTGTGGGATCGTCAACTATCACAGTCCAAACGTGTTTCAACTAACAACGTGTCTTGCGAGGTGTGGAACTGCAACCCCTGTGAGGTGAGAAGAAAGCCATCCAGTCTTGCGGGATTCTACGGGGAAAAGGTGGTCAATTAGGAAAGCTTTCGTCCCAGTGGTGTATAGCAACACAAACTCTCCAGTGTCGTCACATGATGTCACATGAGTATGTAAAATCCACTAAACCAAGCAGGTCTTGATCTACTTTTCCTAGTGCCAGGTTGACGCTTGAGGGAATCTCCACATGTTCAGCCGGACTCAAAGCCTCATGTCCTCCTATGAACCAGCGGGTTGAGTGGCAGTGGTTCATTGCCCTCGATTTACTTCTTACGAACTTGGGATCTTGTCTCCTACTGGCTGTTCACCTTGAAGCATGTTAATTTCAATTGTGGTACAGTATATATACACCCTCCCTGCTAAACTAGATCCCCACTAAACATGTAATGGAAACCCTGCCGTCTTTTTTCGTTTAGTTGCCCAAAATAGCGCCAGAAGGTCAATCAGAATCAGTGCGGGCCGTGGAACTCTGGCGTTCCACGCCGTGGGAATTCGGACGCAGAATTTCGCAGAGACTTCGGTTTTTGACACATTTATATATGCCGCATTTATATATTTACCTACCTGGACCCCTTTTCAACTACCCCAACGTAGGCATAAGATATGCTGATATGCAACACATGGAGTGTTTATAGGTACCTTGAGGGACTCAAAAACATCCCTCGGTCGACTTTGGAAGCAAGATGAAGCAAGAGGCGGAGTAAGGAGATCACCCCCCCAGCTGAAGGAGGATCACCATTGGCCTGCAGGCTTTTCCTAATCTTCTTGTACAGGCTGCAGGAGAACGAAGCATGTGCTGACGACTATGAACTCTCACTGGCTCATGTTTTTGCATGACTCGCTTGCCCTAATTTGAGATAATTTGAGCATGTTTGAGCTATGTCAATGTCTCTGGTTGTATCAGCCTCGAATGGCAATGCTCCGTCTTGGGGAGTGTGTTTATTTCTATTTTTGTGCTTGCCTGGTCGTTTGGTTTCTGCAACTTTCAACTATACTCGTATAATCTCTGAAACCAACCCCTAAACTACTAAAACCAGACTCTTGATCATTTCGTCATGTTGGAACTCTTTCTTTGGGTTGGACCTTCGCCGCAACCAAAACCGGCTGCAGACCTTGGGCCTGCTGGCAGAGTGTGGAAAAGCCGTGCGTGAGTTCTGGCAGAACTCCGGCATGAGCCTGCAGCAGTTCAGGTGCGAATCCCTCTGTTCGCGCCGCGGGCTCGGGGCGCGCGCGCACGGCGGCCGGGGCGGTGGGCGACGAAGCCGGTCGAGTCGCAGGGAGGCGGAGCTTGGAGCTACGAACGGTCCCCAATCCCTTGCTAGTTGATTGAAGAACACTCCCCAAGATTCCCCAATGGGTTTTGTAAAGCTTCATATCGTTTTGGTGTTTCTTTAATCGGCGTCTATAGGTTGGAAAGAGCTGCGATAGGGACTGGTCAAAATCTGCAGAGTATGTAAAAGTGTATCAACAGGCGGAAGTGACTCAAGCTACACTTGGATTGTGTGTGTGACGGATTTTGGTGAGACTGGGCTCTCTAAACATGCAACGCGGGCCTATGTGTTTCGCTCTGTAAAACGGATGTTTTTGGGTGCAATTAACTTGGATGCATTGAATTGCAATCATGCAAGAATTCAACAACAACAACAACAACAACAACAACAGAATCACAGCAACGAGGAAGACACATGCTCTACCTGAGGAAGGCTTACACATTTAGTTCTTTTTCCACTTGATTGTCATTTTTGTTTGGCGCATGACCTCTCCAATCCTGACTGTTTAAACAGTACCAAAGCGACACCAAACGGAAGACAATGCCTACAACGATGTATGCATCAACTTGGTTCAATCTGGTTGATCGTAAGATATCCTGAACCGATAACATGCACACAGCATCACACACAACCATGCAATTACCTCAATACAGTTCGGCATATACTATAGTAATATATATATATATTTAGTTATTTATTTATTTACTTTATTTGTGAGATCTCCAGTAACAAAAATTGTATATCTCAGTGGCATTGAGTGTAGGTTGCATGTTCAAGGCATCTCTTTCATTGGGGACGGGATCCAAGGGGTCATCGTCCAGGTGTTCGTACAGTAGCTTCAGTAGCTAGATGGCACAAACCCCCAAGAGGATTTTGAGATGGGGGTCCATACACAGTAAACCACCTTTTGGGGGGTTTGTGCCATCTATTCTGAAACTTGTAAATGGTTGAATTCATCCGGCAATGGTATGAACACCCGATAGCCGTGGTAGCTGTGGTGGTCTTCTGGAAGTTCAGCCGTCAAAAGTATGCTCACACATATGATATGCGTATCCAATCCATAGACAAATGAACACTACCGCCCGCTATATAGAGCAGGACATAGTAGGACCTTTTGCAGAAGTTTGTCATTGGGATGAGGTGGTAAACATTTGTTCTCAGACCAATGTGGATTGAGCTTGACAACTCTACTCATACACTATACACACTCAAAAGACCTGAACCCAATCCCTCCCACTTCTCGAAAATGCTACAAGTTCTCGAAGATCGCGCCAGGAAGATGGCGATGAACCCCGGCGCCCGCATGGTCGCGGAGGGCCCTGGCCGCCGCGAGGTGCCGACGAACCTGAAGTCACGGCAGAGCCTCGGCGCGAGGTTGAAAGCATGCACATATATGCAAAGTGTGATAGAATTTGATAGATACCTGTCAGTGTGCCTTGCAACAATCACTAACCTGTTGGTAAAAGAAAAAAAACCTCACAGGTGCCTGGTAAGTTTTACAGAACGTATGGCTTTGGAATTTCATAGGGATACCCCTTGGGCGCTCTCTGGGTAGACTGGTCTATTTCCTCTTGGGGACGTATCCCTAATACACACCCATATTGATAGTTGGTTGGGTACTGTACTGTATCAGACAGGACAATTAGCAGGGAAGGGGTAGGAGCAGGGAAGAGGTAGGATTGTTTTATTGTTTTATCAACTTCTTTTTTGCATGACAGTCAGTATATGTCAGTGTGTAAAAAACTGATTCGTTAAGATAAAATTAGCCACTACTGGTTTTCACACAGTCGAGCTGACTGGACAGCGACGCTCAGTTGATTCATGAAGAGTACTGGAGTTGCAGATGAGATGCTGGTGGGTACTGCAGGCCGCCTACGATCCAGTGGTCATGCCCCCAAAAGTGACAGACCTACTTTGGCGTGGATCGCTCGGGTGATCTCAGAGCAGCACCCTTGAATTCGAACATCGAGATGGAGCTCCTTGAGTTGCACTTGCAGATCATTACTTCTTCGTTGACTTCCTGGAGACGCAGATTTTTGAGCGGCTGTGCACATTCATAGATGGACTAGTAGTTTAAACCTTGACCGGCCAGAGAGTTTTCTTAGTGCCCCTTTCGCTAACCAACTACGCCAACTTAAGCAGAATAAATTATCCGAATTCAAGGTCTTACTTGATAAAACGCTTGGCAAAGAGCCCCCAAACAAACAAAGCAGACGTATTTCCAACTGTATTTTGTAAAGCGATTTTGTACTAGATAAATTACCTCATTTTTCCAACTTGCTCCCAACTACCTCGCAAAACCTACCTCTTCCCCGCTAGTTGGCTTGCCCAAATGTATATTGACATGTTAGCTGTTCATGCAGAGCTTTGCTCCAGTTTTTCGATATTCGCTGATATTGGTCAGGACGACTCAGTGGTAGCTTGGTGAGGAGCATTCACGTCCTGTTCCTGTTTCACAGTCAAATTCTACAAGAAGAGGAGGTCGCGCAATGGCGTAGCGGCATGACCGTCAGATCCAACGAGGTCTCGAGCGGTCTCGGTTCGTCTCAAACTTTTCGGGGCCGTTGGAGTGACCGACCAGTATTTGCATTGAAATCTTTACAGACAGAGAATCTTCAGTTCAATGCTCTGGGGTGGGCTCACATCTGACAAATCTTCACCTAAAAGCATGGTCTGCGCAACCAAAATCGAACAGGAAAATCTCGAACAGTGCCCCCAACTGCGTAGGTCCGCCTGGACAGCTTGGCTGCTTGCAAGTCCCATTTTCAGAGCACAGACCGCTGACGAGCTGAGCAACAGACCAAACTCCAAATTCACACAGTCAGATCTCACGTAACTGGCTCAAAAAATCACCCAAAAAACTGTCCCTCCAAAAAGAGACATTATTCTGGGGGCCTCTATTAATCAGTGCAGGAAAAAAGTCTCTATTCTGGGGTACTTTATTACTGAGAGGTCAACATTAGGGGTTTCAGATGATTTCAGGTGCAGACACCACTTTAATGACTCAGCTGCTTCGAAACATTAAGGTGAGCCGGGCGTGGCTTCAGATACCTCAGTGGATGACTCTTTGCTGGGTTCCATGAACTTTGAAAACACGTGTTTGTCAGTCCACAGGAAACGGCCACCCGAAGAACGCTGACCACAAAAATAATAGTCCCATAACTTTCAGTTTGCAACAATTGAGCCAAACCTGAGTCCCCAAGCATCTGCAGGATCATTCCGAGAGAGCTGGCATTCCTCCAACCCTCCCCCAAACCGGAGGCCGACATTCCCATGGACCATGTGTCTGAGGAAGCTCTCAGATTGGCGCTCTGGTGCTGCTCGGGCACGACTTCCCAGACGAAGTTTGGTCAAGGCCAAGGGTGCTCTCAGGGCTTCAGCAAGAACAATCCAGATGAACATCAATCATGTTTTGAGGTCCAGACACCCCACACTTCAAAGAGGAATGAATTGGGCTCATACTGCGAATCCGGAGTTGGTTCAAAACCTTAAAGCAGAGCCAAAGTATGTTTGAATGCATCCACCGGCAGACCTGCCTCATCCTGCCTCAAAGTTCAGCAGAGCTGAAAGCGGTACGAGACATGGAACGGAAGACAAACGTTTTAAGCAATATGACTGCTGAAGCTATGCATAAAGTTTTACCAGCATAGTCGACCCCAAACAGTTTCAAACCGATTCGTTTGGACCAATATTAGTTAAAAACGGTTTCGTGGTACGCCCCACCTTCCCCCCCAAGAGCAACTTGCTTTGTTGTCGGCATCAACATCGCTAATTGCTCGGCCACAGGAGAAGACAAGAGAAGAGCAGGACAAGAGAAGACAAGAGGAGGACAAAACCCGGTCACAGAGCCCAGCCACAGAGTTCAGGGGCGCGGCCAGTCAGTGTGTCCAGGGCTGGTCAGCGTGGCCAGAGGACAAGAGAAGGACACGAGGAGGGCAACAGCAGGACACGAAAAGGACAAGAGGAGGAGACCCGGCTACAGAGCCCGGCCACAGAGTTCAGGGGCGCGGCCAGTCAGTGTGGCCAGCTCTTTTCTTTCTAAGATAGAACCCCAACAGTAGACATTACCAGAGATATCCAGAGTATAGCAGCTGGCATAGCAGCTACCTGGTCTGTCCCTCGACTCAAGTACCAAGCGAAACAGTGAAGGTCTGTAGTACACAACCACTTTTGCCAAAAACATGTGAAAGATCCTCACTATAATTTTGCGGGCTGTCTTTCAAAGTATCGAGACTTCCCATCTGATTTGGAGCAAGTCCAGATTCCAGGAGACTAGTTGCGGAGAACCACCACATAAACCGCTATCAGTACACCGGGTGAGTTGAACACAGAACCTAAAATGGACCACTGGAAGACCATTTGTCTACATATAACCATTTACATATATATATATATTATTGTGTCTACAAACAGGTGGTTTTCAGGTTCCATGTTTAACTTACCCGGCGCACTGTCAATACTGTATCCCCGGTACTTCGAGCACTTTGCTAAAAGTCGGTGGCCCTAGGCCAGCTACTTCTCGCCAGCAGTGAGTGCCATCGACAGTTACGAGCGTGGCAAGGCAAAGAACACGTGTTGGGTCGTGTGTGAAAGAAGTGGCTGCCACACCAGGGTTCACCACCTAGTTCGACCATCGGTTCACACTATTGTGTATAGTGTTTTAGGATGCATGGGTGAGAGTGTGACAGCCAAATGTTTGAGTCTTCTGTGTTCACAAACTTTCAGGTTTGTATATAATACGCACAAAAAACGTTATATATATACACATGTATACACATGTATTTAAATATATCTATATATACACAAGATTCCTTGGTCATTTGACAACAAGGATGGTCAGCATTGTGCTTGCGCACACAGGGTCTCGTCTCGTAGGTCTCATGTCTTTTGCGGCGCCAAAAACCAAAAAACCAACGCGGGGTCCATGGGGATCAACATTCTGAGGGAGTTTGTGAGAGCTTTATATCTGGGGAGCATTTACACTATTACCATGGCCACTGGGTGTGCCCTTTGGGAAGGTGCACTTTGCCAATGGTTGTCCTAAAACACCAGTTGGACGCCCGGCAAGTCCACTATTCAGTTTGTCGGTCAAAGCTTGCAATCCGGTATATTTCGGGGCTTGACTAGCCGTCCGAATCCCCTAGGTCGTGGCGGGTTCTATCCTTTATAGACTTTCACTTTGCGTGTTTCACCATCACTTCAGCTGCGCATGTTCAACATGAAGGTTCCCAGGATCCCAGCCATTCCTCCTGGTCACACCAAAAACGGCCCGGCCTTACCACCTCCAGGCAGCTGCCCCGAGGCACCGGTCGGTCACTGGGAGCAGCATGACTGGGAGTTAAGCAGCACTTCGATTCGGACGAAGAAAAGAGGGAATCCCATGAAAGAGTCTAAGCATTTATAGTCACCTATTGAGATCCGTTATGGGGTTCAAACTGGATGGCATCAACAGACTGGGTGCTTGGGGGTGTCTCACCCCTGCACACTGACCTCAACCCATACGCAGTGTAGTATGGTTACAACCCCCCAAATCCCATGAACATGTTTGGAGTTTCTGCACTTTTCGCGTTCACTACCAGAGTCTCAAGATGAACGAAAGCATTCCTGGGAGTGAAATCAACCACGCAATACCAACTCGATCGGCAGCTCGGGTGCCCCTTCTGCTGGAAATGGCCGTCACGGGAGGAGCACGGTGCTCACATATCCAGAGGAGCCTTCTTTGAAGGTGGAGGAGGACGAGGAGTGCTTGTGGCCTTGGCGCTGGAAAGGAATAGCATCCCAAAAGAGGAATCGGACGCTAGAGGCTTAAGAGATAGACATCCCATGATATCCTAGAACATATTATATGTGAATATATTATATATATATATACAAGATGTTGTTGTTTGTCTTCGGGTGTTTTTGATGGTTTGTCAGTGGTGTCAGGGTGTACTCAAGAAATCCGCGGTGATGCTATCGAAGGGACGTGGCTGCCGGGGAATGGACGTGGAGGTGCTGAAGCCTGCGGAACACGGTCATGAAGTGGCTGAGCCTGTGCACAGGATTCACCAGATGCATGCATGTGGAAGCTTTCAATCATGCAGGTGTATGACACACACAAGTTTGAAGCTTAAAGAGATGGAGAAAGGAGCACATTGGCTAGGAGGAGGCACTTGTGCCAGGAGTGAGATGTCCAGAAATCTGAGTGATTTGCACGATTGCAACGATTCGACACGGTGGTTCTTCGGGAAGTACTTGGAATGTAGAGTCAAGTCTCCGAAGAACGCTCCTGAGCTGTGCAGTCCCTTTTTATACATACCGGATGACTCGACAAGCCGAGTGTAAGGAGTATGGCCCCCCTTTCACGTCAGCTTTGTAGATTGTAGGCATCCTCATCCCAGTATGGTGTTGACATGTTTGGACACGCTGACCCATGTCAAGATGTTTGGCTGGTGACACGCCAACTGCCAGAAATCCAGGAAGGCTGGTGCCGAGCAATGCTCAGCCCGGAACGACAGTGGTCAGGATTGTTGATGTTACATGCACCCAAAATCCAGCCTTGTGTTGGGTGACTGACTTGTTGGATCTCGTTGGAGCATTACCGTAACTTCCAATTGTGTTGCAGATATTACCGTAACAGCATCACTTACGTCAGCTTAGGAATCAATGGCACTGGTACTCACCTTCCGCACAGCACATTCATTTCGTCCTTGGTGTGTGGATGTTCGATCACACTGACTTGATGTGACAATTTATGTTATTTGTTTTTTCGGCGTTCATGTTTTGTTAGGTTTCAACCAAGCAGCCAGCTGCTGAGGCTACAGCGTACCTTTGCCAGTGCCCGCTTCAGGTTTGGAGTTTTTTCCTGTCCGGTTGTAGCTGCAAAACAGGAAACCAAAGCCGTTTGTGGGGTTTGCTTGGTTTTTGTAGGAATGGACATGGCATACGATCAAGTTGTCAAAGCCGCCCTAAATGAGTTGGTTGGTTCACCAAACAATTAGCATGATATCACCAATTCATACACAACGGTCTCTGGTGGAAGGTCTACCCGAGTCTGCTATGGTCCCGAAACAAACCAGACCCTTACGGGTCCAGGGTCCAGACCCTTACGTTTATAAACAACTTTCATATGGTAAGGCCAGAATCCGTGATTTAAAAAAAAACATCAAAAACAAAAGTCAACTGGAAAAGTCAAAGTCAAAAAAGAATCAAATTGAAAAGTCAAAAAAAGTAAACAAAAAAATCAAGAAAAGGTCAACCATAGACCACAGCTCGAAAAAGTAAAAAAAAGTCAAAAGACATCAAAAAAATGTCAACAAAAAGTCAAAACTGTGGCTCCTCGCCTTGGCGGATTACTGGAATCAATAAAAGTTTTAAAAAAAGTCAAAAAAAACATCAACAAAAAGTCAACCGTAGGCCACAGCTCGAACAAGTAAAAAAGAAACGTCAAAAAACGTCGAAAAAAAAGTCAAACAAAAATCAAAAACACATCAAATTGAAAAGGCAAAACAAGTCAAAAAAGAAAGTTAATATAAAAAAGGAAAAACAGCAAAAACAAGTTTAAAAACAAGGTCAAACAAAAGTCTGATCTGGGCAAATTGACTTTTTTTACTTTCTGAAATTTGCTGATTTGACTTTTTGTTGACTTTGACTTTTGGGATTGACTTTTGTTTGATTTGTTTTTGACTTTTTTAAAATTTCGAAAACAGGCTCTTTCCAATGAACGTGTTTTATAACCTTACGTCAGCTGCATGCGCTGGGCGTGTTTTCCACCTTCGATTCATCGAGCAGCTCGGGAGCCCGCGGACGCCCCCCCCCCCTGTGATGCTTCGGGGTGGGGGTCAGGATGCATAGGGGTGAGCTCAGGTGAGCTCAGGTATTCAAGCACCTCTTCAAGTGAATCTCCCTTTTCCTCGCCGGCAGGCCTCTCAAAGGAGGACACGGACCAAGCAGCCAAGAAGGCCATGGAGTTACATCTTGGCGTTTATTCAGGACCGTTTCTGGAGATTTCTTTGAAGCTTTTCCAGTAAAAATCAGCCTCCAGCTGCTTAACCTCCTGTTCCGAACGGACTGTTCTTGCCGTCACCACGGGGGTGGAGAGTCCCACCACGCGAGCTTCACACGCGACGCACGATCAACCACCTGCCAACACACCACCTCCTTACATGTCCATGCCAAGGCCCTGCAGGATCGGCTCGGTGTTTCGGTTTTTTACTTGTTTTGCCTAACTGTTACCCTGCTCGCAGGCTTCATTGAATGGACCCATGATGATGTCCACCCATGTCCACCTCTGTCCGAAGACGAAGGCCAGATTGGATCCCCCAAAAACCAGGCAGTGCGAATCCGTTCCAACTTGGCCCAGGCGCTTCGTGCCTTGGAGTCTCGGCTCTCAGAGGATTTTTCAGGCGCACGAGCGCTCCGCGCCGCGCGAGAGGCGGAACGGCCTCCGGTAAAGTCTATATAGAGGGATTCGGGCACCCGGAAGAGGAAAGTCTGTGGATTCTGGATTTGGAGGGCCGTATCGTCCGTCACGTATCGTGGGTATCGTCTTCGAAACAGTTTCTGGCATACAACAAAGTAGGAAACAATCACATTGAAAAAGCTGTCTTTTCTTGATGGGTGTTGGTTGCACTGATGTTATTCTTCCGCGAGGTGGCTTTGCATGTCAAGGCGGGGAACCTTATGCTGATCCATTCTGAACCGGTCCTGGCTGGTGTTCAGGTGGCGAGTCCTCCTTGCACCAACGGTTGGTGATTGATGCGAGATGCGCACTGACCTGACCTTGCACAAAGCAATCTGACCTTGCCGCGGGAGCCGATAGAAGCCGATAGAAGCTCCGCGGGCCGGGTCCTGTGCCGGCAGGTGAAACAGGTGAAAGATGTGAAGTTCGCCCACGAGCCAGGAAGCAAAATGGAGGAACGTAGGAACACATCACTTTCAGCACCCTAAAAGAAGCATCAACAAGAAACTCATTGCCAGCCAGATCTTGGAAATAGATGGAAACAGTGCAAAACCTGACGAGTCGCCCAAACCCTGGCTGTGGCCGTGAAGGTTTGAAGGCTTCTTGTGGAGATATTGATTTAAAAATGATGCGATTTCCTTGCTGATTTGACTTTACAAATGTCCTAGCAGGTCCTAGCAAGCTGATCATTGGTCAGCTGACCCTGGGAAAACCAACATCACTCAATCATCATGATTGTCATCCTCCCTTCTTGGCGGGAAATGGCCTGTCTTGGGACCACATTACCCAACCCTGAGAGACGTTTGGTGAAATCACTTCAGCGAAGTACAGCCCTCATCATCCAGAACGCGCACTTCGAAACAGTTCAACTGTTCAACAAATCGAATGCTGCAGGTTCAGGGAGTCGTGTCTATTCTCTGAAGACCTTGTTTTGAACCACGTGATCCTGTTCTGCCAGCCATCCACAGATCTTGAGAATTCTGGATTCCGATCATCCTCAAAACGATCGGAGCCTTGGTAGGGTCCTTGGGGCAAGAGAGTTCAGTCTTGAACCCAGACATGACAGCTGGTTTTGAGCAGGAATCTACAAACCCAGCTGCCTTTTTCCTATTGAATCGTCCCTCCAGACATGACAGGGGTGGAGCGAAGCATCCCTGGAGTTACGCCTGGCGCTCGGGTTGCGGCGTTTTGTCATGGGATTGTCTGATGTTTGTACTAAGATGCACTAAGTGTAAGTGACTTATAGATATGTTAGTGCACTAAGATGGTAGGTTGTACCGTACCATATCTTTGTATTCTATCCCCCCCTCACCAGTTTGGGTCCCCTCGGGGCCGGTCAAAGATCGTCAGCGACCATTGGGACGCCACGTTTGGATGCGGACATGCGATGCGTTCCGCGTTTGGAGCCCCACACGAGTCGTTCTCGCGCCGAGAATCGCCTTGGAGAGAACGACTCTCACCTGTCACGCGGGTCGCGACCCGCGATGAGGTGCTTCTTGGATGTCAGCACTTTTGGCCTGGAGCGGGGAAGTGCACGAGCGGGACGAGGGTGGGAGGACACCCTCGGGGAGAAGGTGATGGGACAGATGTCCTGCCCAGTTGGATAGCCTCGTTCACCTTTTTTGGGATGAGCATCACAGGGTGTTTTCTGAAGCAAACCGTTGGCTTTGGTGCATGTTGTTTGTGTTGCTTGCTGAAAAAAAAGGCCTGCTGAAAATGGTGGCTAGCCTTACTTTCAAGAAGTTCATTCCATGTTTTTTTTGTTTTTGTGTGTGTGTGTTGGGTTTATCCTATTTCCTGTAACAGTCAGTCACCAATTATTACTATTTTTGAACAAGGCCTTTACTAAGCATCATCATCCACTGTTACAGGTATTAGGATGGACCCAATGTGTATGTGTGTGTGTGTGCTAGACTAGGGGAGACCCAATGGACCTGAAACAGGCAACAGGTAAACATCGACTGGAGTTGACAGCTGAATCTGTTGGTTGGGTGACCTCCCTTGCTCCCCTATTCTAGAATTGAGGACGTTTATAAAGCCAGCTTCGTTCTTTAACTTGGACCATGCACAACTGCCCTTTATGGAATCTGGAGTTCTCTTTGAAAGTTATTCTTATTTATTTATTCTTTTAGTTGTGTTTTTTTAATGACCTTGTGACCTGCTGTTAGCTGTTGTCAGATTTGAGTAGATGGTTGGCCCTGAAGAAAGAGCCGAAAGAAGTTTCACCACATCACAAATTTTGGTACACATGTGGTATTTCTTTCACCTTCGGACTAAGGACCCCCAAACCCAGTGCTGTACCATGCGGTACCAACCCTACTGGACAAATTGAGACATGCTCCTATGATGTCCCAGCACAGCACCTTGTGTACAAACTTGCCCAAAGATTCCAGGATGCATCCGGCTGGGATGTCCCTTTCTTCGCCGCAGAGAAGACCGTGAAAACAAGATGTACGTACTTTAACTTTTGATCGACTGAAAAGGACGTACCTGAACCTACACTGCAACCGTGCAGGATTTGTCCATCAGCGAAGGTGACTTCCTGCAGGGCCAGCGGCGCGAAGCAGGAGCAGATGATGTAAATCTACACAGCCCCATACTTCAGGCAGACAAAAGTTTACGCTTGTTAGCCTTCTTACAAAACACTCTGAGGTCAGCGGCGGATCGAATTAACAAGTCTGATTTTCGTGGCAGGTATGGGACGGTCAATTATCACACCGTTTTAAATCTATAATAAAAGGCTTTCCGGGGTGACAAATGACCGCCCACACCTTCCCTTGTTTCATGGTGTAGGATTCTAGGGGATAGGGTTGTCATGAGTTTCAACAAGCGCAACTTTCATTTGGTCAGTGTATGGAGCGGTCAAGGGAGTCAAGGGTTAAACAAATTGGGCTGAAGAGTGGGTGTCCCATTCCAAGTTGGATCTGATACTCTTTTGCATCAACTCGTGGCAAACTTCCGAGTTGGACCAGTTCCAGGCCTCGACTCCTGGAAAAAGCTATGGGTATCCCAGCAGAACAACATTTGGTGCCCGGAATATGAAAGACTTTGGATCCAGCGTCGAAAAGGGTTTGGAAGACTGCCTTTACCTGGCTGACATGAAAGTTGTTTCTTGCCTGCACTGTCAGGGCCTGCCAAGGGATCCTCTTTTCATGGGCGCCAAAGAGGAATGCGCAGAAAGATTGCTGTTTTGCCCTTTAAATCCTTCGTTTCTTGCAGACAGCATGTACAAATTGCATAGCATCACACATGCTGTTTGAACCAGCAGGTAAACTATCAGAATGTTCTGTGGGTCATGTAGCTTCCAAATCTGCCAGAATCAGGTGCAGATTTGGCCAACTCCTTCGTGCATGTCTTTTGAGCTTTGGGGAACATCCTCCATTCTCGAAGGTCCAAATCCTCACAGGTAACCCTTAGCCGCTAAAGCCACGGGTGGACCACCAACAAAGGCACTGCCACACTGCCAGATGTACACTGGTTGACCTGGTTTTGGGACCAACCCCCCCAACCCGTCAACCAGTTCGATTCCAAGGACCGTCCAACTGAAAAAGCAGTGAACACGATTGGTTTTAGGATGTTTTAGGTCGAGCATCACGGCAAATCCTGATGCAACAAGCAACCAACAATAGTCTAGTTTGTTTCCTTTTTATACGAACTATGGCCTATTACTTGAAACACAACTAGAGTATACTAGACTATAATAGACTAGAGGCTCCAACTTCTTGAGCTAAGAGAGACACCCACCCACCTTAGCGAGGCCATTGGACTGACATGTGGGACCTCGAGCACACCATGATACATCATGATATCATGAAGCATCAACAAAAAGCACTAGTCAAGAGTCAAGATCTTATGAGCAGTCTGTGTCCCCACAGATGTTGCGACGAATCTGTGCTTCCGCTGAACAGGATCCTTCAGCAAAAGCTTAGGGGGCTTCGAATTTCAGTCTGCCTCTCCGCCCTAAGAATCCGAAATGCAGGGGTTCGGACCCGGTGCCCAAACCCAATGTACTGCGGGTTTCGGGCCCTGATGCGTTGTGTATCCATTGGCTCAACAACTCACTCTTCCAACCGATTTAAAATTTGAGATGGGCCATGAGATGTGGTCTGTAGTACTGGAGAATTGTCGGCTACATCCCGTCACCAGGTGGACCACCTAGATGTCAAATCATTTTGCTTTACCACCGTGCTCAAGTGGGAGTTTTCCGTAAATGCTAAGAAGAATTTCAATGGAATAGCTACAAAGAGAGCTTGTGCAAAAGGGAAGCTACAGTCAAGGCCGTTAATTGGACGGCGAAGAACATGGACCAACATACGCATGCAACATATCAGCTGAAAGCGCGTAGTGATAAAGATGGGATACTTAAATACCTGCCTCCTGACCCTGTCGGGGCACACGGCAAGCTCAGGCTCATACTATCTTCTTCAAAGATGTGGTGTGCTTGCCGCTAATCGCATGGAGAGGTATGCAGCTAGGCTTAACCTTTGCAAATTTCTGTGGCAAGTCTCTCTCAATCCCCGAGCGGATAGGGAAGTCAATCAGCGATGAGTCAATCAGCGATGGCGATGGGGTTTTGGAGCACCGAGAGCCACTTATGCGCAGTGAGCAGCAGGCAAGAAGATGACTCGACATGACCTGAGATGCAATCAGCACTGCGTGCCAGTGGCCGTACCTCTCTTGTCCAGGAAAGGCGCTGACGCCCCAAGACAAGGATGAGATGAGGCCGTCCTTTCTGTATGTACGTGTCCACGCTTTCCTGTTTCAACCTTTTCTTGCACGCACTGCTTGCTGCAATGTTCGCCATTTCTGGCACACATGCCACCCCAAGGTAGCCCAGTGTGCACTTTTTCAGGTGCCTTTAGCAAAGACAAACGTCCCAGATGCAAATCCTCAATTTTGCAAGACACTATGTCACTATGTCCAGAAAACTTGCCAATCCATATCCAATCCATATACACCCTAACAAAAACAATCGACCACACATGTTGAACCGTTCGCAAAAACGTTCTCAAAAAGGTGTATGCCGCTGTAAGGCTTCAGAACTTGCATCCTGCAAAATCCACATGTAACCTAGATTTCTTATTGCTTCTTCAGGGCTTTATTCAGGTCGCTTTGCGACGACAACCGCCGGCACCAGTGGCTCTCAGAGAGAGAGAGAGAGTTTAAAACGTATCAGTAATCACTCTATTCTTGGCCCCTTTGACTCATTGTTTAGTTCTGTTTTATTTGCATTTTGCAAGCATTGTTGGATCTATTTTTCGACCCCCTTGAACTTGTGCATTTGACATCTTCAAGGGTGTCCAAAAATAGAATTATGTATATATAGATATGTGCAATAGACTCTTTGCGGTGTGCATGATCGAGACAAGACTTAGAGATGAGTGCAGCATGAAGTCGATGAAGAAGACAAATCATTCTATTTTGGACACCCTTAAATTTATTTTTTTTGGCTTATTTGCAACTTGCAAGCATCGTTGGATATATTTTTCGACCCCCCTGAATTTGTACATTTTCACGGGGACCAAATTATATCCTATAATGTTCGCAAATGAATATAACTTGGTTTGCCTGAAAATGTACAATTTCAAGGGGGTCGAAAAATAGAATGAATAGTAGAATGAGTATATTCAATAAACTAAATGTGCATGGTCGACACAAACTTAAAGATGAACGCAATATGAAGTGGATGAGGGATAATCACACAAATTGTTGGCCTCATACAAGTTGGTTGCAAGCATTGTTGGGTACGTTATTTCAACCCCCTTGAATTTGTTCGTTGTTAAGGGGTCCTACTTATATACATTTTTGCAGGAATTTCCAATCATTTTGTGTGATACACTTTGCCATTGCAATTATAACTGATGCAAATGATGCAGTCATGAAACATGTGTTAAAACAATGACTGTGTAACAAAGTCAAATGCTGCAGTCATGAAACATGTTAGAACAATGACTGTGTAACAAAGTCGTTTGATTTATTTTCATGAACCTAATGATGCGTCCCAGAATATCCATTTTTTGTTCCCAAACAAAAATGTTCCTCTAGGTAAAACTATACTGTAGAGCAATAAACGCATAGTTTGAATTTAACGCCTCAGCACCTTCGGTGTGGGCGGAATTACAAGCCTCAGTGCGCCATGCGATGTTTTGTTTGAGTTCCAGGGCCGGTTCTTGGTACCCTTTGCAGGTTTGTTGCTATTTTAGTTGTAGGCTGAAAGGTGAAAAACACCTGAGTTGGCACATGTTGGCATGTGTATCAAAAAGAAATTACTGAATCAAAAATAATTACGTAATCAAAAACAAATTAATTAACTAATCAAAAAATAACTATTTTCCATTCCTGTCTCTTGTATGCTTGCTCGTGGTCCACGGTCCACATGGTCGTCCTGGTCCCCTTGGTCCCCTGGTCCCCTTGGTCCCTGGTCCCCTGGTCGAAGGGAAGGGAAGGAAGGAAAGAAGGGATCAAGGTAGGAAGTGAGGAAGGCAGGAAGGATGGAAGCAAGGCAGCCGGGAGGCAAGGAAGCACGGACAGAAGGCAGGAAGAAACAACGTAACAAAGGAAGGACCACAAGGAAAATGAAGAATAGAATTAAACAACAATAAACAAAAGAACCATCAACCATGTTAATGGAGGTGCGCTCTTTTTTCGGGAGTGTTTTTGTATTTGTTGATTCTGATTTTGCTGTTTTTTTTGCTTTTGTTGCTTTTCTGTTTCTGCGTTTTGTTTTTTGGCGTTTGTTGCTTTTCTGCTTTTGCTGCTTCTGTTGTTTTTTTGTTTTTGTTGCTTTTCTGCTTTGGCAGCTGTTCTCCTTTCTCTTTTTGCTTGTTTTTTTCCATTTGTTTGCTTTGCAGAGAAGAAACCAAACAAGAAAGCAAGCAAGCAAGCACGAGCTGCTCACCTTTGGATCTGGTGTGCTGCTGGGGGGGGGCGGCGGCCCCCCCCCCCCCCAACCCCCCCCGCGCCACGAAATCTGCACTTCATCTCCGACACCCGCGCCTGCCACGAAATCAATATTTTAAGGTGAACTCCCCGGCAACCAACCAAATACGCCTCCTGTGCTAGTTCTCTTTCCTTTGCTGTTTCTCTGCTAACTGCACCAAACTATTGTGATAGGTAGCAATTTCTCTCACACCTACATGTATTTTGCCAGCTACGACAGCTGCCCGAATTAGTCTACTCAACTAGCAACTAATATATGAAACCTGCACTATTCTAATGTATTGGGCCAGCTACGACACATGTGTCTTTGCTAAGGACACGAAATTGCTGTAATTAGCTAGGTACTAATAAGAAACCCGCTCTATCCCAGAGAGCTCGTGGCAGAATAGTTTTTTTTGATTAAGTAATTAGTTTTTAATTGATCCCCTCGAATAATACTTTTTTTGACGCGGTAAATATTTTTTTGATACTTCACCCGCACATGTTTGAGTTGGACAAGTGAGGGCATCACCCGATTTTCCATGACCATGACCGTGAGTACAGGATGCGTGCATTAGGATGGGAAGAAAGGAAAAATCTACAGATCGAGGAAACTAGGGCGGCCACACAGTCTCCACGGCTACATCAACCATTGAGCTGCCAGTCTGTTTGAGTACAAAGCAACCACAAGAACCTAACGTCCCTACACGGGTCTATCATGTGCCAGCTGGGTAGTTTGCATGGTTTTGCACACATAAGGTGACCACCCTGGACCCAGCAGAAGTGATAGCTGCCATACCGTAGCATTCCATACTGTAGCTGCCGACCGAAACATAACGTGAGGCCTCCTCACTTCAAGGAGAGGGCAGGGACGGCCCGACGGAAAAAACAAACAAGAGGGGAAAGCAAGAGAACAAAACAAATATGAAACAAAAAAGGACGTCCGGAGCGATGAACTTGAGCCCCCAACCTGGCAACCTTGTTACAAGTAATTATACATGAATTTAAACCTACCTTTGCGCAACCTGCAAGCGCTACACCACCACAGCGGCACGACCTGCGACCTGCGACCTACCTGTAGTGATGGGAGCGAAGACCCGTTGTGGCGACGGCTCAGCGAAGGTCCGGTGATTGCGACGGCGAAGGAACTCCACTTGCGGTCTCAAGCGCGTCCTCAGCGGTCCAAGCCAGTGTAGCACTGGGAGGCACAGAGCCGAGACTAACACAGACAAACAAAAAAAGCACAGACAAATGAAGACGTGAAGACGTGCAAGTCCTCCAATCCATGAGAAGTTCAATTGACTAACTGACAACCTAAGTCTGAACCTGATCCACAAACAGTATTCAGGTCCTCGACATAGCCAAGCAAGGCCATGAACACGAGATGCGTTCAGGTTTGTGCTCAGCAAAACACAACAAGAGATCAAACCGCACGCGAGTGAGTCCACGCAGTGGGAGGGCGACGCTACAGTGATGGGTTCACTCCCGTTGGCAGTATGATCTTGTCCCAGGGATTTAATTTGACTCTTTTTCGTCCGATGTTCACCTGACCTGTTCACCACCCTTCCTGGGTGCTCGATCTTGCACAATTCATGGCGACTCCATGATCCACAATTTGCACCATCACGACGAAACTGAAGCAGATTCCCACAACTCTGAAGTCTCAGATATTGAAGGACAGCCCAGGTACACCCATGACTCATGTCAACACAAAAGCAGCAGAACACGCATCCATCGTCTTCTCCTGCCTCATGGCAGGTCCGGCGTTCGCCGTGTTGGTTTTTCATCAAAAGCTTTCCGGCGTCCGTCTCCGCCGCGCAGCATACTCTTGAGTCGAAACAAATTCCACACAAGCTCTCAGGGTACGTTCTCAATTCCACAAGCTTGCAAGTGTAAAACGTGTAAAAGATCCCTTGGACGATCACGTATAATATTCAACACTGCCTTCTACATGTGACAAAGGCCCTTCTAATATAATAATCACATATGTGACATGTGACATATTTCTACATGTTTTCTTTCACCTCAACACTGCCGTCTCCCCCGCTGAGATGGGCTGAGTGATCTGGTTTTCTTCTCATCTTTCTCCAACAGCTTTCTGTTCAGAGGTTGGCCAGGCTTCGATAGAACATGATAGAACAGTGTGCATGGCATGGTCGCTAGAACTGGTTTGCCAACTCCACTCCTTTGCCAACCTTCTTGCTTGATCTTTTCTCTTATCTCTTGGACTCGAAGGCCTTAGACTCCAGCCCCCCCTGCTTGACTGCGATGCACAGTGCCTTTCCCTCCTTGTCCAACCCGCCCCAGGGTTCTGTACTTTCCATTTGTTTCAGGATTTCTGGACTCCCATTTAGTTTTGCTTCCTTCTTTTCTCTTTACTCGCCTTCATTGGACCAGAAATGGACCGCCCAGCAGCCCGTTTGGGACGGGTCCCTTTGCTGTCCTTGTCGATGTCAAGCCCCACGGCCTTGCGACTTCGAAGAAGCTGCGGGATGAGGCTCGAAAAGAAGCTTCGGGAGATCTTGGCCTTGAAGCGTCGCCAGGTGCGACGCACCGTCGGTGAAGCCCGCGGTCGAAGCGATGGAGAGGTCGGTGTGACCTGCAGGTTGGCACCGTGCTTCTTGACGTTTGATGGAGGTGCACTCAGTGAATCACTTGAAGTTGGAGTGAATGTAGGTTGTTCTTGTTCCATGTTCCATGGTCATAGCCCTCAGTGATGTTCATGATGTCCTCCTTTCAGTTGGATGATTGATTCTTAAGAGTTGCAACCTGTTTGAACAGTACGTAGCTAGTGCGCAAATTTACTGGCCCAATTGGTGGGAGATGAGACCGCTATAGGCTATAGGATCGAACAAATGCATCCGGAACTCACCCAAATCCCACCACGTTTCCTAGACCTTAGCAGGTGGCACTTGAGCGAAGGCTGGAATCCAGTTTCTCCAAAGCCGCGTTTCGCACTGCCAGGAGGGGATGTCCTTTCATTTGCTAGGTTGAAGTGGCCGCAAGATTCATTCTGTATATATTGAGCAACCACTTTTTTTAAATCTTTTATTTAGGCTTTACTAAAGTAGTCTACGGCATGCTCTATGTGCTTTTCTTTCATCAGTATTCGCTTGTGAACGAGATAGGGCCCCCACATAATTGATAGTGTATTTGAGTTTAGTACCAAGCAAATGCCGCTACACATATGTCTTTGTGAAAAAACATGTTAAACCATGTCAAAACATGGGGTTCCCCTTGCGTACTTCAGCGTCCAGCAGGCTGTGATAAAACATCGCTTTGGGTGAAATCACGGGATAGACAGACACTTTCTTGCAAGAATGGACAGTCCTGGTTCTCCGGGTCGTTTCTTTTTCCACGCGTCACCGAGAACACGACAGTCGCCAGGTGGAGGGAGAGAAGTTGGAGAAGCTTCAGGCGGCGAAAGCGCCATTTCGCCGTGTCGGTCGTGTTTGGTCCCTTCCACAGGGCACGATTGGATGAAAGGGACCCCCAAAAGTCTCCTCCAGGAGGGTTGTAGTAGCGTCCTTGCTCCTAGTAGTACGGCCAGGAGCCCCTAGTAGCTTCTTGTTCCTAGTAATTAGTAAGAATGCTCCTAGTAGCGATGCCAGGAGCCCCTAGTAGCGTCCTTGCTCGGGGGCTGAGACGTTTGGACCTGATTGGGGTACACCGGGGTCGCCAGATCGGAACGGAACGGGACCTTTTTTCAAAACGGATTTCTTCCACAACGAAGGCGGTTTTTAGTTTCCATGTGGGCCTCGGAGCCAGGGTGTGTTGGATTTACACTCCGACGAACACATCACATGGAAGTGGAAAACCCCCTGTGTCCAAAGGAAAGTAGTCTTCCAAGGGACCATTTTCCACTTCCATGTGATGTGTTCGTCAGAGCGTAGAATTGTTGTCACAGCTGAATTCCAATGAGTTGGCTTCCCCACTCACACAAATGGATCGAACCCGTCCGTTGCACTGATCGGCTAGACGGCTGCACGAACCTGGCCGCCTTGGGGATTGAAGGAAGCAAAGTCTGGGATGTTTAGCATGCAGCATGCTAAGCCTACCTGTTCAGGTTCATGGGAGAAAGTGCCCGACCAACTACGGATTTTATTGGCTGAGAAGGTGGCTCGAGACGCTCTAAGCACCATTCAAGCGCACTGGGACTGTGAGAACTGCGGACAGGAGTGGGAGAACTTGTGCAGTATGTAGAAAACCTCTTGTTGAAGTTCAGCCAGAGGACCTTCCAGCTCAAGATATTTTTTTCACAGAACCAGCATGAACATGGATTATGATGTTTCGTTCTATGTTTATTTGACCAATGGCAATCTATGGTAATCCTATTCCCTCTAGTGTAGTTCGATTCTTCGCTGGTGCCAGTGATGGACATGATGGACATTATTGTTCGATGGTTTCTGGTTTTAACTGGCTCTCGAACCTTTTATCCTGCCAATTGCTAGTGATGTGTTTGCTTTTTGAAGTCACCTGAGTTCATTCAAGAGAGTCTATCATAGTTTCAAGTTGATTGTAATTGCTTTCTTCACCAACAAACACCCACACTTCACAACAAACACAGACCACTTTCCGACTGCCCGTTGAAACGCTCTTGCGTGCACTACTCCAGTCTTCGTGTTGTCTGGTTTTTGCTTCTTTCAACTTTGGAGAGAGGATTTGCAGGCAGCAAAGATGTATGTGGCCGCAAACACAGAGATAACAGTATGATTTTGGAGAAACAACCCTAATGAGTGAACATCCACATCCTCGAGATCGGTTTCCAGACCGGAAAAAACCAGGGAGTCCACACTGGCAGATAAAGCACTGTGCGCACGGTGCCCTGAGGTCCCTGTCAGTTTCCTACCCGGAGCTGGTAGCTGAGAGAACATACGCATGATTCGTGATATATAGCTATAGTTTAATATATATTGTATATTATAAATATAATAGAATAGATATACAGTACACCTCTTCTGCTACCTTGGAAGCCCCTTTCTTTCGGAGTCACGACTCGTCATGACGTGCGCTTCGACTTACGGGCTCCGGCGACGTATGGCCGTTGGAGGCAGAGAAGGTGCAGAAGCGGGTGGAGCTCTTCCAAGAGGTCCAGGGCCGCCCGGAGCGGACTGGACGGGTGTGAGGGTTTGCATTCTCGGATTCCCAGGTGCGTTTTGGCTGGGTCAACACCTTTGCGTAGGCTGGGTCAGGACATGAGGGAAATCAAGCACCTAGCCGGAGAGGAGGAACGCTTGGATCAGTGAAGTGTGTCTCCATGAAACAAACAGACCGAGGGTGGGAACCCGTCAAACAAATGACTTTTAGAACTTCTTAATCTATATACAGCCAAGTCCCATAACATGTATACTGGATTATACTGGTGCGGTTTTTGTGGATTCGCGACTGAATCATGGACCGTTCCCCAAATCTGCATGGTTTCTCACCAAACGCTTCTAGATCATGGACCATTCACGAAATCTGCATGGTTGCCCACCACCAAACGCTTCTCGAGCTAGTCTTTCGTTGAATTGCTTTAACTCTTGACGATGCATCGAGTCCTTTCCAGGAAAGTCCCAAAAAGCCGCTTGGAGACCATCTTTCAAAATATGTTTGCGTGTTTGCATGGCACAGATTCAGTCGTTTTCACGAAGTGTTCACCGCTCAGTTCCCCGGACACCTGGACGACGTGTTCTACCCGCATGTTCCGATGCTGTTCAGCATGCTGGCGTCAGTGACTATGACCTTTATTTCAGAGAAAATGTATCCAGGAGTACCGAAAATGTATCACATGTTGCTGTTACTTAGTAAATCTTAGTAAGATTCAGCAAGTTAGTAACAGCTGGAGAGTTCAAGATCTTTCTGTTGGCACCCCACGGAACACGCGCCCCATACCAGCCTAGCAGCAGCACCAGCCTTCCCCCACAGCTCACATATGCTGGAGGTCGCTGAGCTCAAACTTCGGAGAGCTGAGAAGGACTGGGCCCGATTGGCCGAAGTGACCGATGACCTACCTCGGTGTTGTCTTACGCGGGATGGGGTGGAGGATCTGACCAGATCCAGAATATGTTTGATATGTTTTGGTTAAGAGGGGTTATTGATCAAGATCCAACAATACAGCATGGAAGTGAACTGCGAGAAGCCTGCGCTTCTTCTGAACTTGGCAATGTCAGCTTAATTCAGCCTTCGCAGCATCTATGTTGCATACAACTTCTTTTCTTGCATGATCGAAGGACAAAGGGGTCATTGTAAGCGGGTATAATACAAAGCCCCGCAGTATCCACATCGATCGGCCAGCCAGGATTGATGCTGATGGTCACGTGGATTGTCATGTTCTGAATATACAGTGAAAATAACTATATTGGAATACCCACAACTTGAGAAGACAATATGGAAACGCGACCGGGCAGAAATACCCACAACTTGAGAAGACAATATGGACACGCGACCGGGCAGAAATACCCACAACTTGAGAAGACAATATGGAAACGGGAGCGGGCAGTCTTGTCATAAAGTCTTTGCTGACTGAACAGCTGTGACAGCGAGCGATGGATTGACTTGAAACACTGGGCAGCAATTTGGGTAAGAGGCTATGTTTTCCCAGCTTGGTCAAGCATTGAAGTCAATCAACCATATCCAATTTATATATATAACTACAATACCTGTGACAGAGTGTAGAACTGAAGCCGCAAAGGAGAAGACAAATGAGTTATTTGTTTTGTTGATGTTATGTTTCTTTGGAGCACGAGATGACAAGCCTGTGGGGCTGTTCCATGCACATGATGGACGTGCCTCTTGTTTGCTGTACGAATGATGATGATGATGATGATGATGATGATGATGATGATGATGATGATGATGATGATG